AGCGAAACTCCAAAAGTAAATTATATAAACTATTCAGTTAACTCATTTGCACAATTATAGTATAGATATGTTTCAATGTAAAAAGGAGTTTTTTTTAACATTTTTCCCCTATCTCCCTTTTAATATCAACTTCTCAATTACTTGTCACAAATAATAGACCAATAATAATTGGTGCGAAATAATATGAATGATCTTTATACAAGACTGCAATCTAAAAATCTTACATTCTGTAATATTGCATTAATCATAACAATACTGCAACTGTACTGTAATCTCGCATCATTTTAAACATAAAATGGCATGAGACTAACTTTGGAATAGATCTTTGCTAAACATAGAAAAAAGAAATTTCATTGATCTCAATTAACGTTGCATTGACAAAAAAAATATGAAGAGGTGCGACTAATTCTATTTTTCTTTCCTCTCAGGTTAGTTGCACATATTCAGTCATGTAGGCTACGACTTATCGATAAAAGAATCAACTATATATATATATATATATATATAAAGAAAAGGCNTTTTTATGATTTTTTTAAAGCCTTTTGGAATTTTGTAGTCCGAGTGTAGGTAACTGAATAAAAACTGTATATATATATATATATATATAGTTTAAAAGCAAAAGGAATAAAAAATCGTACACAAAATGAACAAAATCAAAATATTCTTCCTATTGATCAATAATAATATCCAATTGATTCCCATCAAAGACTCTTTTAAGGTTAAATAAACAAAACATTGAACGCAAAGTATGAAACATTGAAAGTAATTAAAATTATTATTGGTAAACTAAATTTAAAATTATTAAATTGATTTAGAAGAATGCCTATCAGTTCAAATCATACTTAATACATTTACATCCGACATTTCCAATTTTAATTTCAATTCTATATTTCAGAAGAAGCTTAAAAGACATTTTCTTTTTTAATGCAGTTTTTGAGATAAAAACTTTTTAAGCTAAATTGAAATCGCAGACTGGTTAGAGTAAAAAAAAAAAAATTCGAAAAATAAAACGAATAGGATGTTTAATAACACCGAGATATTTTATTTGCTCGGCATTAGCAATATATGTTCGCAAACTTAACTGAAAAAAAAAAAACGAAGTAAATCTGTCTGAAAACAAGGCATAAATTCTTGCTTTAAATTCCGACTGATCAAATAAGATTTTTTCTTACTACACTATTTGAACTTCTTAGCATTAAAAGGTATAAGGTGAGAATTGGGCAAATCTAGAAAAAAAAAATATTGTTTGATTAGCCTTTCTAGAATAAAACTTAATATATTTTTCTTTTTGAACTTCAAGTAACTTAGGGTAGAAATATTTAACTTTTAGTTCTTTTTATTAGGAAAAAAAAAGTTTAAAGATGTTCTGAGAAAGTCGAGTTTACGAGTATTAATTTAATATAAGAAGTCGGATATACTATTTAGCACAATTAATTATTTTTTATATTCTAGTTTAAATTTATGCTATTAAGCAAGGTTAACACACATAAACTTGATATTTATAGAGTTCAAATTACAATGAACGATGCCCTATTTTAAAGAAAAATATAACAAATTGTTTTCATTAGCAATGATTGGCGATTATTTTGTTACTCGGCTTGAAATCACACATCCGTTCCACATATTAGTTGCACATTGTCAATGGTTTTTAATGCCGTAAAAACACGTTTTATTGAGTGCTTTCAATGCTTTTATCGCAGCTGTTCATTAACAGAATCTTTCATATAACTCCATAAAATTGAATCACATGGTGTAAGATCCGGATAACTGCGTGGCTATGTGAATAAGGGTAAATTAATTGTTATCCGTACAACATTAGACACCCATTACTCCGACACAAGTGATTTGGCTACTTGTAAACATAGCATAAACTTTAAAAAAGTATTGGTTTAGCATTAATCTTTGATGCAGAATTTTTAATAATTTTTTTTTCTCATATTTTTATTATTTTGTATTAAGTTAGGTCGAAAAAAGCGAAAAATATTATATTTAGCATTTTTGCAATTTATTGTTACGGAATACCGAATGAAAAACCGGTGACTTCTTCTGAGTTGAAGGTAAAATCATCCAAACGCTACTCACTTCAAAACAATGACTTTTCAAAATTGCAATTTTTTCAGTTATTTAGATTTAAAAGAAACAGCTATTCAGCTTTGAAATTTCTTTAATTTACAAAATTAATCATTGATAAAATTTTGAATATGAATGAATAAATAAATTCAAACTACTTTCCTTTGGAGTTTATATTTCAGTGCACATATAATTCCGTTAATCTACCAGATTTTTTTATTTACTATTAGACTACTTTTTGTAATTAAAAAATATTAAAATATATTTTACATGTAATTAGAGGGTCAGAGGAAAATATATATGACAGAGAAACCTCTGTCCCATTTGCGTCAGAGAGTTAAGAACCATTGAAAATGTGAAACAACGAAATGCGGGGGAAGAACTGGATTGAAGATTAAAATGTTTGTAGTGTAACAAAAGAGACGCACATTGATGAATAGCGACTAAAAAAGCTTGGTGCAGTGAAACCTCATAGGAGCGACCACTCTCTGTTGCACAGTGAAATGGTCGTTAATGGAGGTTGGTCGTTCTTAGGGGTTACCTCTATTGATTTCAAAATTTTATCGAAGGTTCATGATTTTTCACTAATAATTTTGATTTTTTTTAGTGTCATTCTCTTGGCGCGGAAAGGCGAAGAAAATGTGTTGGCGTCATGAAAACCGGATCTATGAATAAAGTTTGGCGTCAATAAAAATGATCCCTACTGATACAGTCATGTGTAAAAACAAAGTGACCGATGATTAGAGATGGAATTAATTTAAAAAAATAAACAATTATGTTTTTTGTTTAAGTTTGCCTTTAATTTTATATTATAAAAATTACCTAGCTTTAGAAAAATAAGATGAGGTTTATTTGTTTGAGATGCTTAGTTTTTTCTTCCTTTCAAATTAACTTTATTTTCAAACTTGACTTTCAACTCTAAAATCATTGATAGCATAGTCTTTAGTGTACTCTAATTACAGCGTGAGATTGTAGATCTCTTTCAGCGATCGTCAAAAAGAACTCTTTAAATAAGAGCCTTGCACAAATATTTTGAATACATTTCTACTTAATTGTTTTGTTAATATTTCTTGTTTTAAAAATTTTTTTTTATTTTTCTTATTTGATCTTTTTCACATTTTGTACAAAGGTTTGCTCGGTCACTGGTTTTGATTGACTCTCCTAAAGGTTTCTTTCAACACAACGTCTATGGAAAAAAATTCCCCCAAACTCCCCAAGTGGTCGTAAATGAAGGAGGTGGTCCTTTTCCTGGAGTTTTCACTGTATAATATAAATAATATATATATATTTGTATTTTCTTATACCACTTAATGTAATATGTGTAATAGCCTTGAAAATTCAATTATTTAATATCTGGTCATTTATGGGTGCTACACCAGTGTTTTTTAACAATAACAATAAATTTTTTTTAATTTTTTTTAACAAAAACAATAAATTTTTTTTAATTTTAAAAGTGTTAAAAAATTGGTCAAAAACTGGTTTAATTTTTATATGTAGCATTGATTGGTTGATAATACGATCCAAATCTGTTACATTTTATCTGATTATATGAATTTCAGACATTAAATTAAATCACATAAATGTAAGAATATATAGAGAGCTAAATATTTTGAAACTAAACCATATTTTTATAATGTAAATTTGCAAAATGAAAACAAAAATCAGCAGACTTATTTTTGATCCACTTTTATCCCGATAAAGAAATCGAAGACAGCTACATTCTTTGATATGAAAAAAAACAGCTACAAAGAAATCAAAGATAGTTTCATTTATTATTAGGAAATAAAGAGAACTTTTAAAAAAATCAAAGATAGTTTCATTGTGTTACTAAAATATTTAAAAGTCATGTAGAAATCAAATATAGTTTTGTTTCTTTATAGAAACAAAAAATAAATCAAGGATAATTTCATTTTTTAAGCAAGAATGTATTTTTTATAAGTAAATGAAAGGCATGATAGAAAGGATATGACCTTTAGAAATACTATAAAACAGATTTAGTGCCTATAAAAATCCTTCTTTTTTTCCATAAAAACTTTGTATTTTATCCTGAGAAATGCTTTTCTTGTATATTTTTCTTTTATGCTGCTTTTCTTTTACATTTCTCTTATACAGATATATAAAAGAAGTTCCTTTCTATTTCTACAGATTGACTTAAGCATGTGTTTTGTTTCAAGTTTTTTAGTAGTTATTTTGGGGATAAATTTTTAAAAGAATGAGCCTGACCAGTTTTTCCCAATTCTTATTTAAAATGGATGAAAATCCTTTTCTAATGTCAAAAATTCAGTTTATTTGCAAAAAATAATAATAGTAAAATCTTTTAAAAGGGGTACTCTTGCTCCATTATGGAGAACTTACGTCTATAGCAGCTTTACAAGCCTTGGCGGCTCAAGGATAAAGCCCACGCCTTCCAATGAGGTGAGCCAATTTCGAATCCCAGCAATGGCTGGTTGATATGAATTCCTCACCCAGCTCGCGCCGACCCCCGGGCTGCCGTAAAATAGTCTCAGTAGTAGACCGATAATGGGTTAGAGTCCACTTGCCGTCATACTAACCGTGGGAGGTTTTCGCGGTTTCCATATAAATGAACGCAAATGCGCCAGTTCCAACAAAATAATCCTCCACGAAGGCAAATTTCTCCCAATACTTGATCAGTAGTTCCCTTGTCTTCTGGATTGGGTTTCAAATTACAAGGGTACAGAGTTCAACAATAGTAGTCATAAGCCCAAAATTGGGTCTGCTGTTCAACGACGGTATATAGTAGCTTTACGGTTTAGTAGTTGACCAGGTTTGTCTTGGATGTTCTTACACTAGAATTAAAAATAAAAGAACAGAAAAACAGAAACACTGTAAATATTATCACACTCTGTTTAATTTGACCCTATATTTTTTTCTCCGTGCTGAATACAAATTAAAATAAAATCACACCACAATGAGATTCATAAATTTTATTAAATAGAAAAGAAAACATTTGATCGGCAGCACATGATGATCAGATAACTCTTTCTTTTTGTTTTAAATTATTTGAATACACATATGCGCAGGCAAAATTATTTCACATGCAAACAATGAACATGTATATATGTATATATTTACATACATTGAATCTTCATATATATATATATATTTGGCTTATCTGAACTGCATTTGGCACAATCCATATTTAACTTGAGCACTCTGTTTTGTTTCATCTTTCCACATTCCATTTTTCAATAGCACACATAATTAACGAACAAATGATGAGAAAACGAAGAAAGCACACACATACAAGAGACGCAGTATAAATACTTGATGTAGAAACAACTGTTTTATAGTGTTCTGTTACAGTTTGGCACATAGTGTCTTTTTTTTTCAACGCAAGAACGTCTTATGTTGGCGTACGTGATTGTTTGTGCTTTTATTATGTTTATTATGAAAAGTGAAATTAGTCAAGGGTAGCGTCCATTCGCTTAGTTGTACTGTCTAAACAGTTCAAAATGGTTTTTGCAGTTTTCATAGTTCATAGCATGTAGAAGTCACATTTGAAAGAAAAGTACGAGTCAAGTGAAGCTCTGAAAGTTTGCGATGGAAAAATGCAAAAGTCTTTCTTCTTTTATAAATTCTTGTTTTTTCCTGTTATGCTAATATGACTTACTTTATGGTTATTTCATTGATTCTTAATAAATAATTTAAAATGACTAAAGCAAAAATGAAACGTGTATGAAGTATAAATGGAAATACATAAATTGACAAACTATAGTTTCAGTTCTATAAACAAAAACCTTCCTCAGAGTCTAAAACGTCAATTGACGTTTTGTGACTGATTTCATTTGACGTTTAGACGCTTACAAAGGTTCTTGTCAATAGAACTGAAACTACAATTTGTCAATTTACGTATTTTCATTGGTGCTTTATTTACGTTGAGTTTAGCTTTAGTCTGCGTAACACAAAGTTTTCCGTTGTTGTACTTAAAAGGATTTTAAATTTTTTTAATTAGTAAAGCTTATTTTTTCACGTAACTGGTGTTGCTCTAATTTAAAATTTAGCAGTTAATATTTCACTACTAATAAATAATATTAGCTAACAGATTTAGAAATGTTAACAAAAAATATATCATTATTTTAGTGTTAATAAATAACTATAATTTTCAATAGCCCAAATCAAGAATTATTTCACAAGAAATAAAATACATTTTTTAAAAAAATACATTGGAAAGAAATACAAAATTTTTAAACTGCAAGCTTTCAGAAAATTTGAACATTAAAGAAAATTTATTGGTGTATATATAGCAAACGAGAAAGTTTTAAGGCTTTCTAAGATGTTTTTTTCTTTCTTATTATAGTTTGTATATCACTGTTTATTATTAAGATGTTTTTTCCTTCTTATTAATAAACCAAAAAAAATGACTACAATAAAATTTTTTGAAAACTTTCTCATACGTGTGAATACTCTCTTATTTCGTTGTCAATTCCCATTTCCATTTCCTTATAAAGATGCGTAATAAATTTGAGCAGAGTTTTGTCCAAATTTTGAACAAAGTTTTGTTGATAAGACTTTTGTGTTCTGCGTCATATTTTTTTTTAACCTTTTTAAAATCTACAAATAATGTTTACGTATGAAAAAAATAGTATACACTAATGTATAAGTTCGCTTTTAAAATATGATTAGATTTCAAAAAGTGACTCATATTTAATGTGCTTAACAAATACAAAAATTTTAAACAATCATTTTATTAAGGAAAAAATCTAAGCTTAAATAAAACAATTATGTGCAGAAAATTAGATTAGATATTAAAGAAAAACAAAAAAAAAATTTAAGATAAATTCTTAACAATATGTTAAGGGACACGTTAAGGTAAAATTAATTCAAAATCATTTATCGAGGAAAAGTTTCAAGCTTAGTTAAACATTTAAGTGCATAATTGCATGTCGTATGCTAATAAAAAATAGATTCAAAAATTCATTTCAGGAAAAGTTCTAAGCTTAACAAGACATTAATGCGGAGAATTGTATTTCATGTGTTAAATAAAAAATGAATTCAAAGGAATCATTTCATGGAAAATCTCAAAGCTGATCAAGAAATTAATGCGCAGAACTGTATGTTATGTTTTAAGGAAAAGCGCATCCAGAATGATTCACTGCGGAAAAATTCATATTAGTTATTATTAACTGAAGGGGCTTATCTGTCACATATTATTGTGCCGTAATTTTTAAAGACCGTTTTGCAGAAATGTGTTTCCTTTATTTGGCACTCAAGGATTCCTTCAAAGCTCAGGTAATTGGTAGTTTATGTTCAGTAGCCCTAGAGTTCAAAAATTCTAAAGAAATCAATCCAACAGCGTTAAATCACGTTATCTGGCTGACAACTCTAATTGAACAGGATTTTTTTTGAATAGGAAATAAAACAACCATGAAATGGTAAAAAGGCTCATTTTTATAAACATTGATTGCTTTACAATGAAAACTCTTAGTTGTAGTGCTTCATTTTATTAACCCTGAACTATCAGCAAGGACACTTTTTTTCTTTTTATTACTTTAGCCATATTTTTTGCCACAAATGATGCAAAATTCAGATTTTATATGCATTGCAGAAGGGTAACATAAACATAAAGAACCTGAATAGTTTCCACATATATTTCATTTTAATAATGAAAACTTTTGATTATTTGATAAATTAACAATTATATTCTCTGTTGGGCTTTGCGTTAGCTTAAGACGTTTTCAAAATTCACGCACTTATGAACTATATGTTAATAAAATGCACACTATCTTTTTCATGTACAATACATATTAGGCTTGAAAATGTTGAAGAGAGTTCAAGATTTTCAAAATTTTAAATTTATGTACTTCCCTTCTCAAAAATTCCTTTCATTTAAAGATTGAATTTCCAGCGAATTTGTTAGAAAATTAAAATACATATTTAACATTCGATGATCCTTTATTTGAAAATATTTTATATTTATACTACTTTGTGATGACAAGAACATATTCTAAAGATAAACTGAGTCTGCAAATTTATTTTATTTCAAAAAGACGTTTTGACTTTGTAAGGCTATTGTTTAGTTTATAAATTAATTTATTCAAAAGCTAATTAGGAGTATTAGATTGTTTGTTTATAATTACATGCTAATAATGAAACAAACATTTCAAAACACCTTCAAATTTTCAAGTGTTTGCTTTGAAAGGTTATTTATGAGACTCCTAGGAAATTTACACAAATATTTTGATAAATAAGAGTTCTCTTTAAACTTAATTATGCACAATTATTTCCTTACGTATTATCATGATTTAATTAAGTTTTTATCATTTAATACATAGGAGAGAAGTATAATTTCCGTTATTGGAAACTAAATATTTGTTCTTCCTTTCTCTTAATAATGCAGTATTGAGTTTCATCATTAATAAGCATCTCAATACAGTGGTGGAAAAAATTACGAGACATGCAGAAAAGTAAGGGAATATAGTTTTTCATGAATATATATTCTCTTTGAGGGGTCTAGATGGATCTAATTTCTTCGAAAAAACATCAAAGTGTAATTTTTTTTTAACTTTCTATAACCTATCTAATATTTAACTTAGGTTCCTCAATTCTTTTATGGAAGTCTAGCATAAGCACAGGCATTATTTAAATGGATATAGTTTTGTGAAGTAATCCAAACAACCTTCATGGTTTCATTTTCTCTAGGGCTGAAATAATAAGAGAAAAAAAGAGATACTATGTCTTGGGGTCAAGATAAATGTCATAATATACTCTGTTGCAAGTTCAGAAAAAAATCATCATCCCTATGGAAAGAACCTGTTTGCATCTAAATGGATGCCGAACTCCCAGCGCAAACGTATATCAGCATCGCTAACATTTGAGAAGACGTTGCACAGACTCCTTTTTGATTGCTTTCCTATTAACAACAATAATCCTTTAACAAGTGATAAGAAATAATTAAAATGATATCTGAAAATCGTAAAGAATAAACGTCTTTCTGTTCGCATTTAAAGAAACTGATGAAAGAATAATAAATATTGTTCTTGCAGACAATTTTTTTTCTACTGCGAAATAAAAGTAGAAGTTATTTATCTTGCTTTTGGTTTATTAAAAGCATGTCACCATACGACGCACCAATTTAGTGGTCCAATCAAATACTATGCTCTTGTAACGTCATACAGACGTTTATTTTTCAAGAACGAATGTTCATCGTATTTATCGAAATATGTCGCCTAGTATCTAGTAAGACGACGAAAATACAGCCTTTTTTTTTAATAATTATGTGATATATATCGTAAATGATAGCGCGGATTAATTTTCTGTCTGAAGTGTTAAACTTTTAAAAGCTTTCATGTTGCTTTGAAAGCATATTTGCATAATTTGATGATGAAATCAAACAGAACTATGTGTAGTAGAAGATGATTATTTAAATCTTATAGCGCAAGGTTTTTTTTTTAAAACTTGCAGCGGAGTATAATGTTTATGACTTGAAATAGCTTTTAGCAGATAATCAAATATACTTTTTTCAAAAACCATACCAGAGCAAAGAATGAAAAATATAGTTATTTTTTTAAATTAAAAATAAAAGCTCTTAATGGTTTCAGATTTTTCACGAAAGAAATTGTTGTGATGTCCTAATAAACATAAAATATTTACTCATATTCAAGTGCCTGTATGAATTTGATCGACATGCTACGCTCAAACTAATTACCGAGTTTCAACTTGAATATGTTTATTAGAAGTCGAGAAATCTTTTGCGTCAGGTGAAAAATTTTGAATTGAAAGAAAGGCAGATTTAAAGATAAATTTTCAACTTTAAACAAAAATGTGAGATCTCATGTGATAAAAGTTATTAAGGCTATTAAAAAAATGGGTGTGTTACGGTTTTCTGTATTTTGCCATAATTTTGGTAAATTTCAGGTATTATCACTTGGTGTCAAATCTCTGAGAACAGCACACGCCATAGCGCATATTTCTCTTAAAAATCATAAATTCTGTGAGGAAAAATCATCTAAACCCCTTAAAGATTACGCGTCCATTGTTATGGTAACATAAAGTTTCAGGAAAGCATAAAAGTTGATGGTTATAGTTCTAGTTAGAATTATTGTAGTAACCCTCTTCCGACAAGATCAGACACTTTTCCCATAGTCTGTATCAATAATCTGTTTTAAGTTCTAATTTAATCAATTTCGAGACTGTCGACATATTGCAGTTATTTTTTTTTATTATTAATCACTCGTGGGTAAAATTCCTTCTAAAGCCAAAGCAATGGATAAAAAAAATTTCCTGCGTCAATTGCTAATACATATTTTAATTGCTTGAAGTACGAGTCACTTTTCCCTTCCTCTTAACTTTCTTTCCAAAATTGAACGATGCAATACTACAAAAACACTCAAGAAAAAGAACGTGGTATTATCAACATCTTGATTTCCGGCAATTAAACTAAATTCATGTGTATCGTATAATGCTTTAGCATTACAAAATATTCATTTTTTTAGGTAACGCATTTTTTCTTCCTTTTTTTTCTTTGTTGTCCGCCACTGCAATTTAATACGAAAATGCTGATTCGTGTAAGCATTTCACTAATTGTAAATAACAATTTAAAAGAATAATATTCTGAAAAAAAACTATTTAATATGACAGAAATTATTTTTCGCTCTACGATATTTAATAATAAATTTCATTTTTTATGGTTCATAACACTTTCATCTGTATTTGAAACATCTCTATACTGTTTTTAACATTTCTGTTACGACTTGCAATATATATTTACGCAAATTTTTAAACAGTATAAATTTAAAATAAATAGCCATGCTTTAATATTGTTCGATGTGTTTTTAAACTTGTTTTCAGATATAACTTAGCCAGGCTTGTGGTGTCTAATACGCAGGGTGCACACTTAAGCATTTTACCACCATTTATATAAATGATGTCTAGTTGCAGTAAAGTGGCTTTTCTCTACAAAATGAGACCAGTTGTTTCTCAACCCGATGAAAACTGCAATGATACCGTTTCAATCTCGAAAACAATGAGAGACATATAAAAAAAGTGAATTACATAGTTGTATCGAATTATTGATATCGTACCATCGTTCTAAATTTCCTTCTCTTTCGGGTAGCACAGCAATCTGGTCTGATTTTATCACAGAACACTTTTTTTTTTCGTTTTTGAAACATCACTTAAGTTTTTTTTCTCGCATAAAAAAAGATAAAACGATTTTGATAACATACTTTTTATGATCGTTTCGTTATTTACTAGTGTAGATAATTACTAAAAAATGCGTGTTTACTCGTTCTTTTTTAGCATTAATGTCCACTAGGTGGCAAATCATTTTAAATCTACAGTGGGATGCAACTTTTTAATTCATTTTTCCTTTTATCATCATGGTTTTCGTGATAGAAATGCAACTCCCCAGCTTTCGCTAGGTAGCATTGTAAGCAATCTTGTTTGTGGCACCTAGCCGCTTTACTAATTATAGATACCAATTTTGTTAATCAGTTTGAAATTATAGAGCAGCGGTTCCAAAATTTTTCGACTACGGAACCCTAAATGATTGACCTTTTTTTACCGGATTAGTTAGAGTTAGGAGAAATTTCATTAGCAATTCTGAAAGAAAGTATTAAACTGAAGGCCATTATATATTCAAAAAATATTTAATAAATTAAAATTTTACTAAATATTTTGAAAATATATAATGAATGAATGAAGAATGTAATTTTTTTATCGTGTAGTTTTAGCAAGACTTGTCTTAAAATTGGATTATATGTCAGACAGATGAATTTACAGGCCTAAAGTAATCTGTAGTGGCATGTAGTCTACTTCATAATTTTGATTTATTGTATACGTAAACTAAAATTGCATGAGCTGAAAAGCGGTTCACGTTTAAATAAAAATTGCAATAGTTATCATATCATTTAGTTATTATATCAATATTTGATAACTAATATAAAATTAATCAGATATAAATCTTTTACAGGGTTTCATGTTTGATAATGTTGTTCTAAATATCGGAACCCCTGACACCTTTCCAGGGAACCAAGGGTTCGGCGGAACACCATTTCGTAACCACTGCTATAGAGGATGGTAACGGAATTTCGTGGGCATTTTGAACAATGAAAACAGAACTTAGCAATGATGATGAAGATTAAAAACAACAATTCAGAACCTCTTAATTATATAAATAGCTTAAAGCTTTATAAAATACAGCACTTGGATTGAATTTCGATATAATTAATTTCACTTTACTTTCGCACCTAATCGCAACTTATAAAATAGTGAAATATTTCCTCGAATAAATTTGCTTCACTTTCAATTTTAGCTGACCCAAGCGTAGACATCTAACTTGCTTTCAGACCAAAATTTGCACTCTTTTTTACTAATTTCACCCACTGTGATGTTCTTCGCCAAATTGGCAGTCTTCTTAGGATACCGGAGCCAATTTGGTTCTCCAACATTTTCACCACCAGATCGTACAAAGCTAGCAACCATATTTTGTACAACTTCACTGAATTCCTGGTTCTCTTCTGATTCGGATTTACTAAGAAAATAGTCTGTACTTTCGAAGAAAGAGATCAAATCCCAAAGATGAAAACTGTATTTTGCTGTATAGTTAAAAAGCTTCACCTGAAATGTAAATTATTATGTGTTTTAAAATTATAACATTAATTATCTATTTAATAATAAAACATTTGATACGCCATGACTCAATATGGTTAATTAGCAAATGATATGGACTTTGAATGAGATTGGCTCATTTATTGTGGTTAAAAGTGTTTTGGCGAAAAATCATATTTACTTAATATGCATTTAATAAATATTAATTAAAAAAGAAAAAAACTTTAATGTACCATAACAAACTATGAATAACTACGGTGAATTAGAAAGTCTTATAACTTTTAAATGAAAATGGTGTTTGGGCATAATATAACGTATACTAATAAACATTTTCTAACTATCAATCTAAAGTAACGAAAAGGGTTAATACGTTGTAACTGATAGATAATATGGTTAATCAGAAAACTTTATAATTTGTAAAGAAAAACGGTTTTTGGTAAAAAATTAACATTTTTCTAATTATCAATGAAAAGTTGCAAAACGATTAATGTGTCAAAACTAACTAACAATGTATTTAATTAGGAAACTTTATGACTAGTAAATGAAAAGAGTTTTTAGTCAAAAAATAATATTTACTTAATAAATATTGTCTAATAATCAAAATCTTCAGTTAAAATTGGTTAATATACGTGAACTAACTAACAATATGGTTCATTAGAAAGCTTTATAACTTGTAAATGAAAACTGTTTTAACACTTACTAATAAACTACTTCGAAATATCCATCTAATATGAAAAAAAAAAAAACAATTTATAGCATAACTCTATTATAGCAATTTATAGCATAACAGCATAACTCATTCAGTATCATAGAAAACTTATGAACTAACTTCTTATAACTTATCATGCTCAAATGTTTCCATATCCCAAAATCAATACACTATTTTTATTATGAATAAAGTATTAATGAAAAGATTGAACTATCAGCGCAAGACTTTTTAATTCTGTTAAACCTCAAATTGATTTTATGTTCTGTAATGACCGTTCTAATTCCCCAGACAATTGTAAAATCTCTTTATTCACGATAAAAAAAAATTTTTTTCTCTTTTCGATGATTTTTTTAAACCTCTATTTCTCGCTCTTGTCAAAATGAGGGGGGGGGGTTCACTTTTTATTTTACTTACCCGCGAAATTTGTTCAAAAAGATGTGGCAAAATGAATGAAACAATCTCGTTCTTATGACCAGAATCTTGTTCATTTCTTAATCTTTACACAAGATAGCAGTACCAGACAATTTGTAATGTGTTTAGAGATTGTTTATTTCAAAAGAGATGTCAGCACTCATCAAACTAGTAAGCTAAAACCCCAAAAATGAATATATATAGTGGACGTATACAGTTAGTTTTACATAATTTTCTTGAAGAAAAAATAATATGTGTTTCTTACTGTTTTTTTCATAGTTATATCACCATTAAGAGGGGGTTAAATGCCTGAAATCCTACTATGTACTTTTTAATTACGTATTTTTTAAAAATGCCTTTAAGAATATATATATTAAGAACATGTATTAAGATCACTAAACGCAGGTTATATTCCGAACATATTCTAAGAAAACAAAGCCAGTATTTTACTTATGTACTTATGGGGCATCATAACAAATAATTTTTCTAAAATTTAATCTAGCGTAATCTGCATAAAATGAAAAAAGTGTTTGCGCGTAACTGTCTCTTCAAGCTTCAAAACTGAGTTCAAACTGAGTATAAATATATCTTTTCTGAGAGTAAACTTCTTTTATTTATTTATTTGAGACTATTTATTATCAAATAGATAAAAACTAAATAGTTATATTTAAAATTAGAAATTCACCTCTAAACTTATTCATCATTTTCCTTCAGAAAAGAACGTTCGTTTTACTTGACATTTTAGAAAAAGATGTATCGATTTTCTAAAATCTTTTTTAAGGCAATTCGAAAGATAAAACAAAAAATTGTTTTCAATTTTTAATATTAATTAAAATATTTGCTTAAATGCGTATTTACTTAGACCAAAAAGACGTAAAGTAGAATTGTTTTAATGCATTTTGACGGAAATTCTTTATGTTAAAATCTCTCAGGAATTAATAAAAACATTATCTTGTTAGTTAAATGTTATACTTCTTTTAAATGTTTTCCTTTTCCTTAGCAATAGTTCTTTTTATCGATTTAGATAGAAAGTGTGACATAGAAATTGGCACTTTTCCCACAAAAGGTGCCAATTTTTACACATTAGGAGAAAAAAATGCTTCTATCATTATGCCTCCTTCCAAATACCGCATCAGTATTACTGTTTATGAAACTTTTCAGAAACCAATTTCCAGAAGCAATGAAGTCTGTAAAAATAGACATTATGACTATTTATTAAACGCACGCATATATATATTTATCANATATAAAATATATATTTAATTTGTAAAATCATTAAAAAACATTCAAAAAGGTAATATTATTTGTAGAACTTAACTTACTATATTAGGAATACACCCTTTAATTGGTTTTCCTCCTCTCTCTCTGTATGTATATATAAACACACATATATATATATATATATATATATATATGTGTGTTTATATATACATACAGAGAGAGAGGAGGAAAACCAATTAAAGGGTGTATTCCTAATATAGTAAGTTAAGTTCTACAAATAATATTACCTTTTTGAATGTTTTTTAATGATTTTACAAATTAAATATATATTTTATATAGTTATAATTAACTTTTCCTATTATAGCTTTTTTACAATATAGTAAAATGTTAATTTCATAAATGACAGCACTGAAACATAATTAACTTTTACCAAATATATAGTTTGAACGATTATTTTATTCGATATAAGCTATAAGCATATCATTTCTTTTCCTCTTCGGGAAATTTTGTTAATTGTTTGATTATGTATCCAATTTTAAGACATCTTTATTTTTCATTTTATATTATGTTATGTCAAGTAAAATAAAATATAAAGTCAAATGTGTATGACGTAATTTATAATCTTAAACAAGCGTAGGGAGCAGTTTCTTACATTTGATGAATTGTTCACTTAGAGCATATCCCAAGTAACGATTTCGTCTAGAACGAAGAATATTTGTAAATTTTTCATTTGTATTTTTCTGGGATGTGACTCTTGGCATTTGTTAGCAAAAACAATTGAAACGCAACTAAAAATATAAATGTTATTTATAAACATATAGTTGCAATGTGCATATTAATTTCAGACAGTGGATTATAGAATTTTTGATCAATCAATTTTAGGAATTTTTGATCAATAACAAAATTCATACAGTGTTTGAGTCAAGTAATGTGTCATATATTTGCTGAGTTTTGTGTTAATAGAAATTTTATAATTCATTCAAATTTACATTTTTAGGAGAGTTAGTGTTAATATTTACGCTCCTCTTAAATTTAAAATGTGAACTTTTGAAAAACTCATCAAGTTTATAGCTTCCAAAGGAAAAGTACAAGGGAACGCCATTAAATTTCAAAGCAGGAGACACTATCTCTCTTCCATTAGAAGAGAAATTCTTGTAGTCAGTAGAGATTCTACTTCATTAAGACACCTGCAGTAGTTCCCACCGAATAAAGGGGTAGGACAACCCCTTCAAAAGTGATTAACTCCTTCAAATCAACACCTTTAGGATGAGTCCCCTCCACTCCTTTTCTTGAACACAGCAAAGCCACTTTTGCTTGATCGATTTTTCGAATCTTTTTGAAACAATTCCTTTTGTCTTTAAGAATTAAGATTGCTGCTGTCGTCGTTAGTTACCAGGTAAAGTTGCTTATATCGCCACAACTTATTGTTCTTGTTTGCTGTACGGTGATTCGATTGTTTATTTTTGAAGTGAGACTGAAACTGGCGACAGCTTGGCGAATCTTTGTTCGACAATAAAGGGAAATTTGGCTTCTGAACTTTTTCATTGTTTGCTTGAAAGAAAATAGGGTATACAAATTGTAAAGAAAATTTTTGACTTATTTCTACAAAGGTACTTTTTGAAATATTATTCGATAGTGTGACAATTGTTTAAATACGATATTAACAAAAATTAATCACTTTAGTGGGAAAACAGCCTTTAATATGATGTTTATCTAGAACTTTTGACGAAGTTTGTGCTGATTTTTTTATGTTTCACTAGTAGAAGCAATAAATTTACTGTGATTGAAAGAAGCAAAAGATTTTTTTCTCAATAAATGGAGTAACAATAGTGTAAATATACTAACGCATGTCTTGAAACAATATCTATATATAATAATAAAATGAAGAATTTTTGCGCGTCTGTCTTACAATTCCGGAATCGTGAAAGCTATTATCTTGAAATTTGGACAGCGACAAAAAAGAAGAAATTAAAGAAAGTTTTGAAACTTCCGTTGTATCTCTCTGCTTATTGTACCGTGTTCAGGAGTTTGTTTCCATTGGAGGTGAATAAAACAGTCCTTAAGACTCCACAAAATTATTAGCAGAATCTTCCAGAAAATATAGCTATTTCTGGCACTCAATTACAGCTCAAATAGCAGTCTACAGACGACACTTCACAGGCTTTGATACCTCGGACGGTTCTGCAAACTCACTAAAGACTCGCAAACCAGAACACAAGAAAATCAGAACACAAGAAGCCAAATACTCTTCTATGTGGCACACTCCTATATATATAGGCTTTTCGACGAAGCCCCGGAACTTTCGACACGATTTTAAACAATTCTCGTATAACCTCGTAAATATTAGTCTCATCGCTTAGAAACTAGATCTATCATTTTTCGCTAAAATGGTTGCCGAGTATCCCCAAGTCGCCAAACCGGGTTTTCTCTACGAAATGCATTAAGCGTTACTTTCCTTTTAAATTAAGTTAGAATTACGCTATTTTCTTGCAAAATTTTTAATTAATTGTTATTTTAGAGTTAGTCTGAGATATTTAGTTTCGTAACAAAAGAATATTCAAAAAAATTACAAACATATTTACAAATTCGTAACATTATGTTATGCCTATATATTATCTATAAGGGTTATTCATAACTCCCTCCGGGGTTTCGAAGCGTTTTAGTAAAAAAACGAAGACGAATATGTCAAAAAAGAACATATGATATTATTCCGAAAGTATTCAAGTTTTAATTTAAGCAGCTGCCGGTAGATGGCAGTAACATGTACCACTGAAGCCAGTAGTAAAGAAAAATGACGTTTACAGGCGGAGGCAATTGTGAATAACCCTGTACTTGCGAATTATTTGTGATGCATAGTTATAAAAGTATTACTAATCAACATATAGAGTGTGCGGACACGGTCAACTATTTTACGAAGCACGAGTCTGATCAAAAGCCTTCAAACAAGCGTGTGCAATAATTTCAAAAGATGCATTTAATGAGACCCTATCCCCACTTTAGCTTTTTGAGGTTAGGTACAGACAACATCAAAATCTTAAAAAGTATTTCAGTCAATAGTTGGGGATGGGCGACTAAATGTAAACAATAACAAGATTTCAAAAACAGGAAGAAAATTTTAAAGTTCCTTGTTGTGTCCCTCCGCTACGAGGCTAGTGGAGAACAGGCTCGATATTATCGAGAGAATTTTATTATTGTGATTTGTGAATAAATCAACATGCTATTTTCTCCTTTATAAGAGTCTTCGGTAACTATTAATTGTTAAAAGGCCACGAGTTTCAATAAATTTAAGAAAATTAATATCACAACTTAAATAAGCTCAAGGTTTGCAATGCGTTGAGCGTTATCCCTTATTTGGCTATAGTCACGTAAAATACCACCATTTGTTATTTTTTAAGTCGCAAAATTTTCAAATTCATTTTCATTTAAAGTCAAATGGATTAAGCAAAAATTGAATTGAAAGAACGCACCCCATTGCAAACACAGCAAGTAGATTAATATTGGATTGAGAAGTTTTTAAAGCTCAGGTGAAAAACTAAATCCACAGTTGTAGCCCGGAAATTTAAAGATTCAACCCCTAACGCCAACTGTAATTAGTTTTATACTGTTATTAGAATTGGTCAGATTTTATTTTTAAATTTTTTTTTCTATTTTGATACGCTTTAGTGGGGAAGAGTTGCCGAATGTCATAAGAATAAAAACGATTTCCATTCGAGCATAATATTAAAAATAAGTGAAAACTTGGAAAAAGTGGCGCCTTTTTAAAAATAAAATTTAAGTTGGATGCGTTTTCAATGGAGTAAGATTTTTGGGTTACTACATAGTTAAGGCTCCTTTTTTTTATAACTACTACACATCTAAAGAGTAAATTTTTGAAGAAATGAGGTTTAACTGATCCCGATCTTAGTGTTGCTCTCGAATGTATTCATCTTTAGCTTCACGTTCACAAATTTTATTCGAAGCCTTTGTCACACACTAGTTTGACAGACCATTCCAAAGCCTCGGAGAAATAAAGAAACTTTGGCACTTTTCTAATGCACACAATGCTCTGAATTGATGTAGGATGCAATATAATCTTCATTGAATTAATCTCCATTCCATTTTCATACTTTTTTAATACCCTGTATGTAAATTATCCACTCATTAAATAGAAAATAAAACGCAGGATTTAGAATTATGAAATAAATTACCGGACTCGGTGGTCTTTCTGTGAGAGTGTATCTGTAAACAGGTGATCGAGAGACACTCGCCAATTTTTTCGCCAAAGTATTTACAGGACAGGATTGTCGAATGTCAGACACCATAGTTGTGTACAGATATTCTGCAGTGAAATTTAGATCTGAAACAAAAGAAAACAAAATGAGTCATTACAGATAACAAAATCTTTTCAGTGGTCATTATCAGAAAAAATATATATTTTCACGACAATAGTGTATTTTACACTTTTTTACAACTCATGCATTTTTAGGAGAAAAGGTATCTTTGAGAATGTATTTGAACAAATTATTATTTTTCAATTTAAATTTATTTTATGTACTTCAAATTTATATCGAAGCCATTTTCTCCCTAATCAAATGCAGAAAAAATGTTTTTAAGACATTAAGCAATACGTTAACTGATTTTTTTCCTTCTAGAATTCTGAAACATAAAATTCAGAAAACTAATTTTTAACTTTGTTTTTATAAAATAAAATAAATAAAAAAAACTGTTCTAAAAGTTTCTCCTGCCCATAAAGACCATTGCATTCTTCAGGAACATTTGGGGGATTTACATGGTTGAGTTTCTATGCGTGTGGTCATACTTTATTGTATCTGTTATATTTTTGTTTATTCTGACTGATTATATCGAGAACGATGATTATATTTGTAATATGAAAGCCTGAAATACTTCTCTAAGTTTGATTGATTCTAAATTTTGGTTTTTTTTTTTGCTTCATTCTAAAAAAAGTTAATGAATAAAGTTAGGATCATGTGAATTTATATAAGTGTTTTGAAATTATTTCATACTGTGCATTTGTGGTAAATATTAAAGGTTTCGAATCAGTTTACAATCTTTTACTTTAGAATTTAGTTATATTATATGTAAACAGCGTTTCTGACATATTTTTTCTTTCCCCTTGTTTATTTCACTCTGTAATATATTTAATTCATTTATAAGCAAGGAAAATAAAAAAAAATTGTCTAAATAACGCTTTTCAGAATTTATTCAATTGCGTATGAAATTTATATAAATATTTATGGTATTAAAACTAAAATAAATAGAAAAATAGCATGAAATTAAAATATTTAAAAATAAATTGTGATTTGCCTAACAAAGTGTATTATTGCGTCTATTTACTCATGATATCCTTAAGGAATTAACATTTAAGAAGACGTTATACCATGGAGAAACTATTCATCGCAAATTCTCTTTCATCTCTATAAGTAAATAATTCAAAACATATAAACAATCATATATACATATATAACGTATATAAAATTCAAAACATATATAAATCAAATCAAATAATCAAATCAAAACACATATAAATTAAATCAAAATCAAATCAAATATCAAAACATATATAAAATTCAAAACATATAAATTTCAAATACTAAAAAGAAATTTTAAAAATGAGAATAAATTATTCGAGGATAACTTCGCACTTTTAGAAATTTCTGAGCAAAGACGGTTAAGTAGCAATTTATTTAGTTGTTATTTTACCATATTCAACCGAAATAAAAATAAGAAAGATTATATTCAAACTGTTAAGTGTGAGAAAAAACGTTTAGTGACTGTTATGTCCTAATACGGTTAAGCAACCAGAATTCTATCCGCACTAACGAGGCCTATTTTATGAAGCTCCAATGTCCTTTTAAGTTTTATTTTTATGGATTAGAAACTATACTAAGTCGTAAATTGTTACAAAACCGCATAATTTTTGAATTCACGGTTTTTTAACCGCACCAGTTGCATACGGTTTCAAAACCGTAAAGACAAAAATATGCTCCAAACCATAAAATCCATGGTTATTTGGATGGACAGACTGTTGCCAGTTATTTTACAGTAATTTCAGAATGAAAATTATAACAGCGTGGATTACGCGATGTGTAAGTTCTTTTCCAATAATTCGTTTGCATTTTAAAATTTTGAAATTTTTCACCAGCAATTTGGAACATCATGACCTACTCTAGATTTTCCTGAACTTCCTTGTTCTATAGTTAAAAATTTAAATTAGTTATGAAGTTGAAAGAGAATTTGCGATAAAAAGTCTCTCTCGCGATATAGAGTCCTTTAAAGCATTTTATGAAACTAAATTAAAAACTAATAATCAACTGATTACAAAGAACTTCATAAATTCAATTGCAAACAAGAAAATAAAATAATAAGGTCTTTACTCTAACTAATAATTAATCTTTTTGCCACAGTAAAAGAATAAAAATGCTATATCCAGAGTAGCCATTTTGCTACGCATGAAAAAAAATTAAAAAAAGAAAGAAAAAGTGTCTTTTTTTATACGTTCGAGCATTAGAGTCGAAACTAATATATTTTTGAGTGGGTGTATCAAATCGATAAAATTTTTCTCTTATGTTTGTCGTTTCCTCGTGCCTTCATTTTAACAGTAAAATAGTTTTATTATAAATAAATAGTTTTATTAGAAAATATAAGTGAAAAGTGAGTGGAAAATATACAAAATGTTTCCTTGTATGAATTCATTTGTACACGATTGATTTCAAAAATCAATTATGTTTCACTACTATCTTCAAATTTTAATAAATGCATAAAATAATCCACGAATGCATAAAACAATAGAATGATAATAAACTTGGAAGTGAATGGAAAATTCTATTAAAATAACTACTCAAAATATCAGTTCCAATAGCTTAAAATCTATTTTTGTTTAATATAATTAGAACCTAATATTTTCTTTCCTTCTTTATTTTTTTTCTTGGAATTCATAAACATAACTTTAAACTTACAGCTTTTATAAAAACGGCCCACACAATTGGCTTTTTTCTAAAAAAAAAAATACGATATCTGTAAATTGATTATTGTAATTGACATTGATACTTGATATTATTCCCGATCGCAACGCTTGAATACGCCCCCTAGTGGAGATGATATTTTCAGGCTTTTGTTTATTAATTTTTGATTTAGTTCTATCAGAAACATTGGCAGAGTTGCATGCCATTTTTTAGCAGCAAATAAGAATCAAAATTTTCCTAAGGCAGAAGAACTTGAAAAAACGACCCAGAACATTAGTAAATCTTTCAGAAACAGAACGCACCCAACATTTGAAAAACAATTTCTAAATAATTTTTACCTTTCTATTATCAACAAACTTGCAACCGATAACTTACGATTTCATGATTGCATGTTGTTACCAATGTGTGTAATATGGTAAAATAATTCTATTTTTGTCTTAAATTTTTAACAACTTAAAGTGAAGCCCTTACATGCTAATGAATAAATGGGATTTCAGAGCGTTCAGAACTGTAATAGTTATAGAATATTCCTCTTATTTATAGAATAGTATATATTTCTGTATCTACATAATTCGGAAAACAACAGTAAAAAATCATCCGAATTGCTTGAAATAGTATCATTTGATTTGAATATTAATGGATTTTTTATAGTTTTCTTGATGAGTATTTTTTAATTTTGGATGAATAGTTTTAACTAGATTCAGCTATTCTGTTTGTAATTTACATATTGAAATTCATATCGAGACCTTACAATTATAAAATTTTGCTGTGTGGTATGTCATCTTAAAGTAATGAAGAGACAATCTATGTAAATATTATTTGAGAATAAAATTTACAAACGAAGAACATTTCATTTAGAATTCTCCGGATTTACAAAGCAAGTAAGTGTTATGATTTTCATAATAAAAAATTTGTTTGTAAATAGTTTCTAATTTGAAGGTTGTTTTCTACAGAATGGTTTTCTGCGTCTAATTAAGAGCTTTAAGACAAAAAAGAAACAATATGAAAGCTTTTTATTTCAGTATGAGGAATTTTTAGAATCGTTTTTTTTATCGTTAATATTTTTTATTTTACGTTCTTTACAATTTTTTGATAGAAACTGTTGTCAATCGAGTTCTGTATATGCACCAAAATTCATTAGTAAATAAAAAGCTAAATTTATAGAAAATTCTCCAACTCAATTTCAGGTTTGAACGGTAGACACAGAACATTAGAGAGTAATGTACCGGGGTGCAATTATTGATCAGTATTTGTTAAGAGACTCTACCGGAAAGTGCAATAGTCTGTCATTCTCTACTAAAAAACTAATTAACTGAAATAAAATTATTCTGACTGCTTTTTACAAAAAAAAAGAAACATAACACTTTTATTTCACACAAAAAAATTTATTCTATAACATCACCATAGCAACCGTTGATAAAAATTCCTACTTACAACTTATATACTCACTTACATATATTCAAATAACAACTAAATAATATCTAGCTTGCAACTTACATATACTCAAATAATAAATAAATGAAATCCAGCTTACAACTTACATGTACTCAAATAACAAATAAATAAAATCTAGTACTTTTAACAGCATGAAAGACAGATACTGATGGCGACATTTAGTTAATATTTGGCGGTAAAATGTTTTTATCAGAGTCTGCACAATTTTATTGCTGGCGAAATATAGCGTTTTTGAATGTATCTATCGTCAAGTGCTATTATTTGACCAATTTCAGTTCTATCGTGACTTAAATGAAATTGGAGACTCTTCACATTCCTCAAAATTTCAACGAACTCAAAACTGTCCTTCACGGTGTCGCACAAAGCATCGAAGTCTCGACATTTCACGGAGTTCTAATGCAGATTGTTCATCAATTTATCAGCGTCACGTCATGGCAATAAATGATTGAGCATGCTAACTAAATTCGAAATTCTCTAAAAAACTCATAAAATTTGTATAAAATTTTAAAGCTTGACGGCAGTGATAATTTTAATTTTTCATTTCTTACAACAAAATAATTGTCATCTAGTAACGGTATAGAGAAATTCTAAAAGTAAATTAAAAAAAGAGAGGCTGCAACTTGAACAGAAATCTTAACCAGTTCAGAATGGTTAAATGAATGATCCCAATAAACTAAAGTGGTAAGATATTACTTGAGTAAAAATTTCATACGCTTCAAAAATATTTTTTCCGCCCGATTGACACTCGTCATTCAGGTACCAGTAGGTCAGATTTGGAACCATTCGTTCAGTGGTACCATATTAGGTGGATCAACGTTTTTCCCACAATAAGAACAGATAGTACAGAAAATGAAAGAGCATTCATGCCTTGGCAGTAATTCGAACCCATGACCTTTCTGATGTGATGTCAGCTCCCTGA